ATGACAAAACTTTTAATTCGTGTAAAGTAATGCAACATAGTTAAAATAATGCATAAAACCACTTTTAAAATATCCAAATAAATTTGCGCCAAATCCTTCAAAAGCAAAAAATTAATTTCCATAATCAATTTTTTTTCCATAAGCACTTCAAACTTGAAAGACCGAAAACAATGAGCGGAAACAAAAAGATATTTTTATATGAAAAAAAAACGATTTTTTTTCCTTGCCATAGCATGAAAAGCGGAAGCCTTTCCACATTTTTTTCCTCTCTACAAAAATGCTTATTTTTTTTTTCATTCCAGGACGTTGTAGGATGAATTGTATTGTCGTACCATTGACTGCTTTTCATTAAATCACTTCCTGAAAACAATGACTTTTTTCGCGTTAATAGCGCTCCTTGTCATTTCCTTCAAGCGTACATTTTTCAATATAATATTATTTTATGAACGCAAAGAATGAGAAAGAGAGGAAAAAATGTGTCGAACATAGTGGCACAAATTGCTGCATAATGCCATTTGCCTTGTTGGCATCATCTATTTTGAACCCCTGACGCAAAAAGTCAAACGTTTCCGAAAATTAATTTTTTACTTCCAGTCAACATTTTTTTCATTATTATTTTGTAGATTTCTCACAAATGTATTAAGAGACCTCACTGCTGCTGCTTCTACTTAGTTCCTCAATTTTTGCCAGAGGGTGAAATATGACACAAGAAAATGGAATCAAGTGACATCGCTGCAAATCCCCGAAACCTTTTTCTTTAATTAAACTTTTTTTTATTTTCAGCTCATTGCGAAAATAAAACTGTGGAAATAAGAAGCATGCAAATTGCTTCGTTTGGGTATTCGACATGAGTTTAGTGTCAGTTTACAAGCACTTTTTTGAAAGAATGGAATTTTAAAGTCTTTGACCACAAAATATAGTTGCTTTATGGGTGGAAGAAGGAAGGTTTTTCAGTCACAAATGTTTTTGGATGTAGATTTAGACTTGTACGGTTGTTTCAGGGGCTAATTTTAATCTTTAAAATTTTTGTTTAATTTTATGGCTTTCAGGAACAAAAATCTAAACAGTCAAGTTTTCAAGGAATTTTGCGGCAACTCTTCATCAAGCTCTCAGAGGCTGCACAATACGATAAAGTAGATAAGCATTAATTTATCGTATTACAGATGCATTGATTCTCAACTTTACTTTGATAAAACTAAGCTCAACTGAAAATCATCAATATGCATTTCTTAAAATATTTAAATCCCATCAACAAGCCACACGTTGAACCCCAAAAAAAAGTATTTCATCGAATTACTCAAACCTTCCAATAAACATAAATCATTCCCATCACCCAACAATCTATTCCTACCGTCTCATGCATCCAGTATGCATAAATAAGGTGAATGCAATAAAACTGCATAAAAACCAAAAGAATCCAAAAAAAAGAAAGAAGAAATTTCAGCTACCAACTTTTTATGATCAGCCTAAGAAACAAAAATTTCTCTTTAAGAAATGTTTTTTTATGATTATTGTCCCTTAAACTTTATTACTTTACAGTCTTTAAGGAACAGCATAAGAAAAAGAAAGAAAAGAAAGAAGAATCTTCACATGAAACAGCACTCCAAGGTCGCGTCAAAATTAATTGGAAAATCAGCGAGCAACGGAAGAAAAGAAAAAGATTCATTGAGGAATATGCGCGCATCGATGAGGAAAAAAGTCCTTGAGAGTGGAACATTCTTTATTCTATCATTGTGGCATGCCATCGAGAGCGGAAGAACGACCATTTTTTTTCCTTCACCCACCAAGCTATGGCCAGTGGTATGGGTGAACCACCAACAACTTTCGGTTCCACATTGTTATTTAGTGACGTTATCATCAATTGGCTTATCAACAATAAAAATGGCAATGGCTTCAGCAACAACAAGGAGATGTATTCTCGCTCTAAACCTTCCACATCTCTCATACATGAATAAAAAACCCGAGTGGAGGTTTACCAATACACAGAAGTTGCTCCTCGAGAGCTATAAAAAGACATTATGAGCTCAATCTGTATGTGGATGAGCGAATAAATTGGATGGATAGATGAATGCAAATAATAACAAACCCCTTTTTTGTTGTTGCTACTCGGCTCTCTTTCTCACTCTCTTCATCTGGCCAGAATGTGTGGGTTTCCCAAAGTCGGGGCTTTTATGTGGGCACACAACAGCAACGAGAAAAAAAAGCATGAATATTACGATTGATATCGATGGATATAAAAATATAAGTGGATACTATGGACAGTAAAGACTAGAAGTGGATTTAGGCATCGGTTTGGAAATTGTGGAATTTATGGAGAATTTTTGAAATGCTTATTTCGAGTAAGATTTGTGGAAATGATTAGGATTAAGTGTCAAAAAATGTTTTTAAAAATATAAAGAAATTCAATTAACCTTATTAAATGAAACTGAGATTAAAATTCCCCACAATTCTAAATCTGCACAATAGCATCAACAAATCCAGCCACATATACCACAAAGTCTGACCTCCTAACATAACCAACTATATAAAATTTTAATAATAATTTTTCATATTTTTCCACCCAAAGACTTAACCATACATCCCTATCAGTGATTTATTTTATTACAATCCTCTCAAATCTGAGTAAGAAGCAGCAGCAAGCATGAAATAAAAAAGACAACAACAAGTTAAGAGAAAATTTGTGAAACTATCACCAATAATTTGTGGGCGGTGAACATTCTTTAACTTTTTCTTTTCATTTTCTCTCAGTTTTCTTCTTTTTTTTCTCGGTACACAGCTGTAGCCGAGGAAAAATCACATTTTCAATTTCATTCCTCTCGTGTGTTTCACCACATACATTTTGATGAATACAGAGTACACACACACATTTGCAGCTGACTTTTTTATTTCGAATAACCAGAAAAAAATGAGAGAAAAAAAATTGTAAAAAGCGATGATTTCCCCTGCGTATTTCTCATTCTGCTGTTTTAATGGCACAAGCCATCTCTTTCTGGTTTCGAAAATGAAGGGAGAAGGTGAAGAAAAAAAAATGGATTTAATTGTGTGAGTGCGTTGTGTGCGTAAATCATGAGATATTCAAAAAAAAAGCTTCCCCTCGAGTTTTTCCGTGTGATTCATTGAAAGTATTATCCGTACGCACATGGCTTTGTGATGAGAAGTGTTTGAACATGATTAACAGGTCAATAAGGTTTCATAAATTAGATGACAATTTTACCTGAACTGTGGTCACCGCCCGCAAAAACCACATACAAAATAAAACTAAAATATTCTCTGTTTCGATAATAAATGCAATAAATATGTTTGCTTAATGAATATTGATGCATGCTTCAACATTAAAATGAATTTTTAAACATTCCCTTTTTATTTTTTTCGCCAACTGTCATTTCTTCTTTCACTCGTCTTCCTTCATATGAAATGCACATCAAGTGCATGATTTATTTAATTTTCATCGTAGAAAAAAAAAAACAGAAATGTTTATATAAATCCAAATGTGGCTCCGCAGAATGAAAGCTCATTTAATATGTACATCATCATCATCGCTCATCATTGATGACTTAGTCATAGAATAAGTAGGAAATTTTGATGGAAAATTGTGATTTTTGAGGTAAAAGACGCATTTATTGGAAGTTTTAGATTTTATAATTTTAAAAACTGACTTTTTTGGTCCCAACCAAATTTAATTTATACCCTAGATGATCATCTTATCCATATTTGGAATGAATCCATTTTTAATCAAAAAGGATCCAGATTTTACAAAATCTCGTAATTTCTTACTTATCTCAAAGAGGTTCTCGATTAGAGACACTACAACGATAGTACCAGAGGTGCTTTATAGAACATTTTTTTCTTTATAGCTTATTAACTGAGCCTTACTTAAAGAAAATCATTCGAACTAGTCACGAGCCCAAACTGCTCAACAAATTCTTAAAACAAAATTTTAAAAATAAATTTACCATTTAAAAAAACATTCACGTCGACGCGATAAAAGGAGTCATGTCATATTTCAATTTTCGCGCACTTCATACAACATGTTGCATATTATATATTTTATGACGACTGCATTTTCACACATATCATTCATAATTTTCATCATGTATTGTCGAAAGCGAACATAAAATAAAAATTTCATCAAAATAAAAAAAAAATTATAAAAGTTTTCAGACCTGACAAGCCTTAGCATTGAATAAAAAAATTGCAAAACAAAAATATAAGGAAATAAAAAAATGAGGAAGAAAAAATAGCGAGTCGTTAAGGAAGACAAAACATAAACAAAAAAAAGTTCACATATTCACCACACGAAGCTATATCTCTCTCATTTTAGCATGCACTTGAGTCCCCCCACCACCAACCTCATTCCACCATAATTCATGTAGACACTCACAAAAGAGGGATGATGAAGAAAAGGGCAAAGAAAACGGAGAAAAAAATGTATCCATTTATATTTGTATCTGTGTATATCTATAGCTGTATTGAGCACGCGAGAGCGAAGGGGCAGAAAAAAAGAAAAAAGGCAAAGAAGAAATAGCGAGAAAAAAAAATGTGAAACCGCACATTGGGGGAAAAAATGTTGGTGCACCCCTCCAACCAATAGTATTGGTGTTTATCTGCCTTCTCTGTTTCGCATGTACACATACTCATATGCCTGTTTGTATCCTTCAACCAGAAAAAAAAAATCCGCAGCAGCAAAGAATTTCGAAAAAAGAGAGAATTTTTATTTTTTGACAAACACCAACAAAAAAAAATTCTTTTTTCCCACATTTACGAGTCTTTCTTTTTTCTTTACACACACTTTTTTATTTCGAGGGGTTCCATAGGCATCGAATATATGTTTTAAGTATCGGTTAAACGGCAGGCAGTTGTAGAAATTCACTCGAAAGGAATACATCGTTTTCTCGAATTTATTTTTTCAAATGATGAGAAATTATTTATATTTTTAAAAAAAGATAAAAAGAAAAAAAATATTTCAGTGATTTTTATTTTAAGTTTTTACGTCGAAGGAAAAAAAAGTGTCAAAAAATAAGAAAAAAAAATTGTTGTGAATATAAACACAAGATTAAGCAGAGATAAACATAAACACACATTTTTCGGGTATAAAATTACATTCAGTGATATAAAATTTTATAGTTTTGAGCATCAAACTATAACAGCGGCACGATCACGGATAAAGGATTATTTATAGAAGATACAAAATCATTGTGGAGTGAGAATTTATAAAAAAAAAATTAATAGATACCAAAACTCAAGTGACAAATGAGAAATTGATTCCAAAAAGAAGGAAATTTTATCTTAAAATTTTCAAGTTAAAAGAACTTTTGTAAAAATTGCACCAAAAATTTTAAAACCGTCAAAAATGCATCTGCCAAATAGTGAAGGATCGACGGCGATTGCATCACCAACACCGGAACAAGCAAAATCACCGGAACAGATAGGCACATCAATAATGAATGACATGTACCAAAATCTACATGAATTATTGCAAGAATATCACGGTGAATTAGTGTCGACTGGATCGCCATCAATTTTGTGCAGTGCTCTTCCAAATCATTGGCGATCAAATAAAAGTCTTCCATGTGCCTTTAAAGTTGTTGCATTAGATGATATTCAAGATGGTACAATTGTCACAATTAAGGCTGGAAATGATGAGAATTATTGTGGTGAATTGAGAAATGCAACGGCAGTGATGAAAAATCAAGTCGCAAAATTCAATGATCTCCGTTTTGTTGGACGATCAGGCCGTGGCAAGTCATTCTCAATCACAATTACAATTAGCTCATATCCATGTCAAATTGCCTCTTACACAAAAGCCATTAAAGTTACCGTTGATGGACCTAGGGAGCCACGATCGAAGCAAAGTAAGTTGAAGATATTTTTTGATACTTTTATGGATCGCTGATGATGTTAATTAAGAAATTGAATGGATTTTGTCACTTGAGAGCTTCTTGTTTTTGCTTAATGATCACTTAATATTTGAATAAGGATAAAATTGAATAAAAAATTTTAAACGTCTTTTTGCAATTTTATATATTTTGTTCAAATATGACACAATTTGATAATATTTTTAAAGTTTAATAAAAATATTAAAATAATTTTTGTTCGCAAAAAAAATATCCACAAAAAATAGCATCAAAAATCCAATTTTCTTAATTGTTTATTTCTCCTCCAAAAAGCAAAAAAAGAAAAGAAAAAACGTGGTAAAAAGTCAAGAAAAAGAAGAATAAGCACATTATAATGAAGAAAAAGTGGAGAGGAAAGTGGAAAAATCCAATTTTCTCTCAGTTCTTAACAACGAAAAAAAAAACTAAATTAATGAAGACAGTGAGATTCTTTCTCGACTGCAAGAAGTAAGAAGACAAAAACACTATTTAATTTAATTACAATTTTCCATGTTGTTTACATTGTGATCAAATAAAAGCAAAGAAAAAGAAGTGAAGTCGGCTGACGGCTCCATAAAAGCTATTAACACATGACTTTATGCCATATGCTTTGAAATATTCAACATCAATTGACTTTAATTCTATTTTATTTTTATTACAGATTATGCATATGGACATCCGGGTGGATTTAATCCATTCATGCTCAATCCGGGCTGGTTGGATGCTGCTTATATGAATTATGCTTGGACAGATTACTTTAGACATCAACATCAACCACATCATCCTGCGATGGCGGCAAAAGGTAAATAAAATTTTTTTTTCGTGTGTATTTTAAATTCCATTTAAATTTACCCCCAATTCTACCCACCACCTTCACTCACGCGAATGGATGTATCCATATCCATTCATTCATTCATTCATGTTAATGAGAATAATGCGAAAACATAAAAATTCCCTTCAATATATGTACTGTGCGGCTTAATCCTTTCTGTTTCGATATTATTTATTTATTCAGTACTTTTATGAGCTGTGCTCTGTAATTTATGATATAAAAGGGCTTTATTCGATGAAATACTGAGACACTCTATTAATTATTGAGAAATTTGCTAATTGATCATCAGAACTGATTAATAAACATTATTCATGCAATAATTGAAATAAAGTTTCAAAAGTTTATACAAGTTGATGGAGAAATTGAAAAAATATCCGTTTAAATGACAAAATATGACGTAAAATAAACGTAATGAATTTCATAAGGTCCAAATTTAGTCATAAAGAATTAACAATAGCAGAAATATTTCAATTCACCCAAAAATACTCTCAATGAACACAAAAGGAACCCTAAATTATGCAACTTATCTGCCACTAAACTTCCTCTTTTTCTCCAACACTCAAAAATCACCCAAAAAAAAAAGCATCAACCATCAATGCAGCATCCCAACCTATGTTATTTTTCCAATATATTTGTGTGTTTTTAATGAAAAATATCGTTCACACGCGAAAACTTCATTAAATTGGTTATCACGAGAAATAAAAAAAAAGTTTCACTTGCTACTTCAATGAGCTATAGCGGCAGCATCAGTAGAAGCAAAACACACACGAAAAAAAAAATCTCATCAGTGTGAAAAACCGCCGACGAACGTAAAAAAAATTTTGTGTTCATTCCGTTCGAAAAAAAAAATTGTAAAAAAGGAGAAAGAGACACGACCAGCAGCAATCAATAATGAAAAAGTGGCTTAATTAAGTGTCTTTAACAGGCGAGGCAAATGTGGAGAGTAATATGTTTGCATTTGCTCATTCTGCTGTGGCTGTGTGCTATGTGGAAAACTTCCTCCTATTTTTTTAAATATATTTTCGCAACCATGATGAAAATCAATGAACCGAAATTATTGACTTGAAAAAAAAAGGATATACCCAAAGGGATTTTTCTCTATATATATACATAATGTACATGATATGATGGTAAAAGGAGGAAAAATGCAGATGCTGAAACTTTTTTTTTATATCTCAATTGCCCTTCTGACTATTTTCTCATTCACTTACTCAATGTTAATCCATAAAGATCCCTTCAAACTTCTCCTTACCTAACACAATACTAAAGTATATAAATAAATTTTTCCAATATCCTAAAGTCACGTCCATGATGTGATATGCCATATGGTACCAAATATCTATCTTTCTTATTTTACGTCAAAATCAATCTTATTAAATTTCTTCTTTTTTTGCTATCTTTTCTAAAATAGGATCACCAACGTTACCAACAACAAATGGTACGACAGTATTACCTAATGGAACCGATGCATTCTTCCCGTCACTTCCAAGTCCACCCAATAGTGTCGCATCAACATCTGCACCAACAATAACAAGTCCTTCAACTCCAACACAACAAAATTCACAGACATTAATCCAACCACCAACATCAGTGTACTTGCCACCATTTCCATTCGCAGCACATCCAGAACTTCTTCATAAATCGCCATTCATGCCTTATAATGCACTTCGTGCTGGACTTCCGCCACATTCATTAACACCTGGTGCTACAATGTCATCACTGCTTGGTGGAGATCAAAATAATGGAAATGTTGGACGTCTTTCGCCAGCATCATCAAGAAATTCTACATCAAGTCCACCATCAAATAGTCAATCAACACCAAATCATAAAATTAATTTATCAATGGAGTTCAATTCCACAAATGATCATTCGTCACATTCATCATGTGAGGATTCAGAGGATGAGCAAATTGATGTTGTAAAATCAGCATTTGTGCCAATCCTAAGGCCGACATTAACAGCAACAATAACAACATCCACAACACCTGATTCAACTGTCAAAGAATCATCGCCGTCACGTGAAATTCCAATAAAAATTAAATGTGAATTAAAAGCACCGTCCTCAAAGAAGCATATATTGCACGAGAAAACGTCAGATGGATTACAGTCGCCAGATACAAAAATTAAATCGTCGACAATTACACAGCAACAGAAAACTGTTTGGCGACCTTATTAATGCACAATATTTGGGAATTATTATGATTGCCGTAAAAAGAGAAAGAAAAATTTTAGTCAGTGATATAATCATTAAAAATCCATAAAAGGTGGTGCAAACAAAAAAAAATTCTATTAAATATATTTTTATTGTATATATAGGAAAAATAGGTTTAATTTCGGGACATAAGACAAAAATTAGTTCGAAAATGATTTTTTGTAAATTATTGCCTTGCATAATAAAGTTCTTCAAAGAGAAAAAAAAGTCGGAAATAATGCACAAATTGCCACACGATTAAGTACACTCAAAAAATTCAAAGTAGGGAGAAAAAATCCAATTTTTTTGCACAAAATTACCAAAAATGAACATTTTTTCGGTGCATAATTAGATGCCGATGAAAAAATGCACTTATTTCCGAATTGATGACAATTTTCTACCCGAAAATAGAGTTATACTTGATAAAAAATGAGAGGCACTCGTGAACTGAAAATGACACTCGCGCGAAAATTGTGCATTTTCATTATTATTATTTTTATTATGCGCTGTACAAAAATTACAAACGGCTGAATATTAAAATTGGGAATTGCAATTGGAAATTTCTTGACATTATTTTTATTTTATTTCGATGATATTCAATTTTTTTTTTTGAAGAGCTTTATGATGCAAATGACTGTAAATATGTATAATGTACAAAGGAATAAATAAAAAAATTTATAGATGAAAAAACAGCTTTTTTAATTTAACAGCAAAGAATGAGTGAATTGTAGTGCATTTTTATGGATGAATTTGGATGATTTGGCTACTCACTATGGATTGAGTGTAATTGAGTCAAATGAATGGTCTTTCAAGTTCATTCAGGGTTAGTTTGTTGCGCTATCCATTAAAGATTAGTGAAATATTATCGAGAAAATCAAAGGACATGCTCTTCTATAGCTCAAATTAATATTCATTTTTAATTATTTCGAATTTTCAGAATTTTAAATAATTTATTTATGGCTCATTTTTCTAGATTTTTGTTCAAGTCACAGATGATTCAACTTGTCTTACGTCCTTTAGTGCAAAAGTTGCATGAACAATAAAAGATAACGTTTAGAGCTTACTAGTCCTTAAACAACTAGATATCTCTTTAATAATTAAGAATATTTACCTTACTGTCTTTAAACTCATGTCAATAATACAGAAATGATCAAAAATCCAGCAAACCTTCAGATCGTCAGCCAAAAAATGCACTCTATTCACTCAAGATTCAAATAATATTATTAAAATAATTTTAAACTTGATTTTAAAATAATGTGAAAAGATATTGCATTTATGCAACAAAAATAGCCATGAAAGAGAACAAAAATTTTCATTATTAAAACAAAACTCGCTTGTTGAGTTGTTAAAAAAAGTCCATAATTAAGTTTTTAATTAAATTCAATAATTGATAAAGCTATGAAAAATATGTTTAAGCATAAAAGAAAATTACTCTAGGAGATTGTGATAGATCTCGGAAAAATAATAATAAATAAATTAATTCACAATCAATTTTTAATGTAATGTACCTTCATGAGAAGATTAAAGAAAATTGTGAGTTGGATATTGGGCCAATTATGTAATGAACATGAGTTTAAAATGAAATTTTCACAAATTATCAGTTACTTAAATAGGTACTCAATAAATAATAAAAAGAAATTGAAAAGCAAAAAAGAAATCTTTTCAAAACTTAAATTTCAATTGTTCTCAATGCTGTTCACTTTAATTTCTTTATTTTCAGCTTGAAATAACTCTGATATTTTTGCAGGTAGATGAAAAAAAAATTCTTTTGTTCTTTATGTCTCAATTGAAATGGAGAAGGAGGATGGTACAAATTGAGGTAAAATATTTGCAATACAAGATCATTATGAGATAATTTTTTTTTTCAAGTTGATGATCGGTTGCAGAGATATTGAGGATTTATGTTCAATGTTGTAATCTAATTTTACTAATTACAATAAACATTTAATAAGTAGCTGTGGATTATCTTTGAAATTTGAAGTTTCTTTTCTATTGAGCGAGGACTAAAAGCTGAACTTGAGAAAATTAGTAGGAATCTTGAGATTTTTAAGAGTTTTGAATTGCTTTGTTAGATTCTAATCGAAAAGCTATTCAATTTTTAAATAAATAGCTCATCTTAGTCTAAAAACTTAACCAATCCAAAACATCTGATTTTATTCTATTTTAACGTAATATGAATCACACAATTATTTATATTTTGTGAACAGATAACCTTTCTGAAATATTTTATTGTTATCAAATTGAGCAATATAAAGCTTGTCCTATATCCCTTTAAATATTCAAGTGTAAAAAATGTTGTCCATAGCAATAGATTTTCTCGAATATTCGATATGGAAAATAATACTTTATAATGATGTTGACCTGGATGCTGGTGACTTAATATACTTGGAAGAATTTTGTTATTTTCAATCATCTTACAAACTTTTGAGGAACTAACCAGAGACTGATAGTTAAAGAGTTTTTTTTAAACTTTTTCTACAAATCTATCATAAAATAATGCCATACAGCAACACAAATGAGACATGGACATCATCAATAAATTCATCATTTAAAATTACCAAAAAATAATTCACCAAAATGAAATCAATCAAACATCAAAACGCAATGAGACACCACCTGGGTCAAACATTTATTTTCTCACTCTACGCGTCTATGTTCCATAATAATAATAATATTTCAATCAATTAAAGGATGTTCCCGCAACCCCTTCTTTTTCCCACTCAAAATATACTGAATAAAAAATACTTTTTTCGTGCCTATTTTACGCAACAGCATGAACCACCACAAACAATTGGTTGGTTTTTGTGCATTCAACATTAAAAAAAATTTCAATATTTTCTCGCATATTTTTTTATGCGATCAAATTGGTGGTTTTTCAAAAGTGACATAATGCTATGACATGCATAAAATAAATGAATGTTTAGACACCTACAATCATCCATGCCAGTTCGCTTTCAATGCTTTTTTGTGCGAGGATTTTATTGCATGGCGCGGGAGGATCTGGTTGGGAAGTTATTAGGGGACTTGAGGGATTATGAAGCTTCAGAATTCAGGAACATGTGAGATATTTCAAAACAATAATTTTTTACTTAAAAAAACTTGAAAAAATGTCAATTTTAACTATCAATCAACTGTGGACAGCATCTTTCATGCTTTCATCGTTTTCAAAACACTAGAACCAAGGCAGACACTCAGCCAAAATATCCATAAACTTCTTCATATCATCAACAACAATTCCAAAACATTTCGAGTGCCATTATTAAATTTAATAATGTTTTCTAGTTAAGTGCTTGTGGCACACAATACTGCCTCCTTCCTTCTAACAATGCAATCATTTTCCCGATTTTCAGTGCAAATTTTCCCAAAAAAGCAACTACAACAATATGGAAATTATTTTTTTGTATGGTTAAATATGAAGAGACTCGACTCGACTGGGTGGGTAGTTAATGTGGTTGTTGCGAGAAAAATTTGTGTATATATTTTCGAATTCTATTGTTTAAATAGATAGAAAGAAATTTGGCAGTTATTAAAGTAATTGCAGTTGAAAATTAGCGTCGTTTTATTTTGGCTGCTCAAGTGAATTTTTGTTTTTGGGTGGGACTGTTTCGGGGTTTTGGGACTGAAAATAATATTCATTTAGGATTCAAACTTACAAATTTTCGTGTCACCACACAAAACCCAACCCAAATCCATTACAGATTACTCCATCGACTCACAGAACTGTTTCAAATTATATCAAATAAAATTCAAACTTTTTCACATTGCTCACCTCAAATACCAGCACCCCAAAAATCGATGGGGGGTAAAATCCCCGAAAGATATTAATTCCACGATCCTGCGGGATAATAACCCCGAAAATCGCAAATTTTTAAATGTTCCCTGCGGGATAATATTCCCACTTAGAAATACACGTGGAATTATTATCCTTCCGGAAAGATAATAATCCCACCTATAATTACAAGTGGGATTATTATCTCCCAGGTAGATAATAATTTCACTTACATTTCTAAGTGGGATTATTATCTTTATGGAACACGATTAAAATTATGGATTAAATCAAATCCAAAAACTTATTTGTCATAGTGATAAAAAAAAATCCCACTTATTAATTTGTCAATTTCATTATTCCAAAAACTTAAACTTAAATATGAAGAAAACATAAATATTGGTTGAATGTTTGCTTTTTAAAAATATATTATTCCAAATTGTTTAAAAAATAAAATCAAGGTGGGTTCAAGTGGGTTCAACTGATCTAAAGATGTTAGCTATTCCATATAAAATTATGTTCGAGATTCGCTCGAATGTTTAAAGAAAATGTAGCTGTAATTCCATTTTGTTTCGCTTCATTCATTCGACTGTTTAAAAATCACAGTTTTGTTCAAATGTTTAGGAGTAGATATGTTAACCTCTAATGGGCAAAATAATAAATTTTCGATTCTTTCCTGAAATTTTCCAAAAGTCATTCAAATAATTGTAAATTGCCCTTAACAAAATTAGATTTATAAATCTAATCATAATATTTGTTTATACATTTTGCTAAGAAAAATGTAGAGATTTAAACATAAAAAGAACGCAAAATTAAAATTTTGTTGCTCAAATTCCTATTAAATTAACTAGAATTTTAAAATGATGGCACTTCTGATGCTGTTTAACCGTGTCTACAAGCCCCAAGAAGGTTTTCAATGGTTTTAGACCATTTAAGAGATTTGATTGTTTATAATCTCAAAATTTCGAAATTATTCTGATTATTCAGGTATACAGGGTTACTTAAACAAACTGATGGCGACAAATTTATTGAAAATGTTCAGCAAATAATTAAAGTGATTCGTACAAAATTCAAACGTAATATTTTATAAGTTTTTTCAAACTTGAGCTCTTTTAAAGAAAAGCTTAAAATAAAACCTGTCAGAACTAGTGTATCGGGCAGAAACCCAATGCGGATTATATTCACACCGTACCATCAAAAGTCTAATGGATAGACCAAGATTTTCCCAGCATAAGTATGAAGGTATGAAGCTTGATAAGTCAACTGAGCTTCGCTCAGCATAAGTTTGAAGGTCTAAAGCTTAACGAACATTCTTTAAAAGGTTTTTAAAAAAAAATTTTCATCCAAACTTAAATTTCATAAAAATCACAGTCAACTTTTGTTTTAAAAAATTCGTAAGAAAGGAAAACTTTTTGCTTTTTCTGAAGCAACGGCTGTTCCTACCTTGCCCAAAAACAATACAGCTCTTCTATAGAGCAGCACGGATCAAATTTAAAAAACTAGAAGTCTCTACGATGTCTCGATATTGAGATTTCTTGCTGATTAACTTGCTTGGTTGCTTGCTTGCTTGTTTGCTTACAGAAAGCGTATTTTGCGATTTTCTCAGCAATGTCACAACCAATTTGAAATCTGTTTTTTTGAAAATGATGTAAAATTTCAGACACAAACTTTTCTTCTGTGACCTTTTATAACCAATTTTGCTTCGTTTTCTCAAAAAATGAGAAAAACTGATTTTTCAATCTGAACAAAACCAATAAATTTACACGTGAAAACGGTGTGAATATAAAAAAATTTTATATCCTAAAACCTGTATTAAGCTATTGCTTCATTTCAATAAAGTTACAACAGTGTTTCCTTAAGAAGAAAAATTAAAAATGATCATTAAAAACATTAATGAATGAAGTTTTTTTTAAATTTATTTTTTCTATGTGGAAATTTTTCACCACAACCTAAATCTTTCATAAAATTTTCAAGTTCTATTAGTCGTAGAACTATGCAGTTTTCTGTTTTATGTCAAGTTTAATATGATAAATACGATAGGCTATTCAAATTTCATATGATATGAACAGTTTTCACAAAAGTTGTTAATGATTATAACAAAGTGGTGAAAAATTTTCACCTCAAACAAATTTTTCTCAAATTTTGGTCCTAAAATCAATTAAAAGTGAAGAGTTCTGTCATTAAATCAATAATATAAACCATTTTCTACCTAATTAAGACAAAAGAATTACAGTTTCATGAAAAATAACAGCAAAAATTAATTTTGAAGATATTTTCAGTAAGACAAAATAATTGAAGGAAAATCTCGTGAAAAACTTAATGGAAAATTCTGGAACTGTCTGCAAACATAGATATTTGTTGCTTAAATACTTTAAAAATAGAATAAGTACAATAAATAACGTTTACAGCTCAAAATTTTAATATTTTCAAAGTGCGACTAAACGAACTTCGCACTTTGTTGTTGTAATTTATATAAAAATTAATTAATTTAATAAGGCACAACCTTTAGCTGACTTATCTTTACTAATTTCAAACATATTTGGAAACAGCTTTAAAAATAATAAATAGTTGCCATCCTTAAAGTGTTTATAAAAGTGAAAACTGAAGAACTTATGGTGCGGTTAAACGAACTTCGCGCACCTTATGACAAATAAGTTTTTGGATTTGATTTAATCCATAATTTTAATCGTGTTCCATAAAGATAATAATCCCACTTAGAAATGTAAGTGAAATTATTATCTACCTGGGAGATAATAATCCCACTTGTAATTATAGGTGGGATTATTATCTTTCCGGAAGGATAATAATTCCACGTGTATTTCTAAGTGGGAATATTATCCCGCAGGGAACATTTAAAAATTTGCGATTTTCGGGGTTATTATCCCGCAGGATCGTGGAATTAATATCTTTCGGGGATTTTACCCCCCATCCAAAAATCTCTTTTTCCAAAAATCCCGTTCCAAACAGGCCGTACACATTAAAATTCACAATTTTTTTGAGGGTAAATATTGGCGAAAATTATTTTTATACATGAATTATTTTAATCAATAGACACATCCAAATACTGTGATTAAGGCATTCGATAAGGAAGAAAGAAATTTCCCCAAAAAAACTCTTCAGACGTGAAATAGAAAAAAATTGCCAAAATCAATAAATTATAAAATCATTTCGTGTGTCTACACAGAAGAGAAATTCACATCGGCTTTTTTCCTGTCTCTCAAATTGGAGATAACAAGTTTATTAGATTTGCTGTTTTTAGCTCTTGGACTTTTTAAAGTGTCTAATTTTCTTGAGAATTTTTTGTTTACTCTACTTTGTGAGAGATGTTTTCGTAAATAAGTTGTATGATTTGAATCTTGACCCAAATTGATCCATTGAAGTGGAAATTTTTATGATGATTCCACGTTTTTTTGCAGACTTTTGATCTCGTTTGTTTTAACAATTAGCATTAATTTATCGCTGCCCCGAGCAACAATGACTTGTTAAATGCATAATCAGTTGATCATCATTAGCGGCTTTCTTTAGTCTCCATATCTTCCTAGTTTTCTATTATTGGACGTATCATTTAAGATACTTTAAAAAATAATATTAAAATCATTCATATTTTTTATCACAAGGTATCACAGCATTTTACATTTGAAGCTATATTTAAATTCTGAGGGTACCAGGAGATGTTCTATATCTTAAAATATGTCACAATAAAATGAGTCGGAAGCCTAAATACTAAAATTAGATCTCTTATCAAAAGGAAATACAATCCAAAAATATACATCTGGATTTCCAACCACAAATTAGTCATGGCACATACAAAAAACCTAAATAATGAGACAGTTTACAAGCATCAGTTGATTCTTAAAAAAATGTTTCGATATAATGCTTGAAAAACTGATCAAATCCTCTCAAGCGCCTCGTAAAAATTGAGAAAAATTAAATTGCTCAGAAGCTAATCCACGAGAGACTCAATTCAGTGAAATGAAGATTAATAAGCAAATATTCAGATCTGCTCAGTAAAAACTTTATATTTAAATGAAGAAATCAACAGACTTATTAGTCTTTTTTGAGAAGTCAAGTGAATTAGTTGATTGTGTTCCAAAAAAATAATTATGAATAAATTAGTTGTGATTTTTGTGCTCTTAAGCCTTGCCGCTCTCTGCTTTGCAAGACCAGCTACTCAAGATAGCAGCAGTAATAGCAACTTTTATATTTTATGCATGCAATATCTTATAGGCAATAAATCATTGAAATATTTTTCTTGTAGCAACAGTTGGAGTTCCTTACAATGAAGAAATTGTTGTTCATTCATCATTAAATATCAGAAATAAGCCACAAAATCGTCAGAAGAGACAATTCGGACCTTACCAGTAAGTTCAATTTGATGTTGTTTTAATAAATTCATTAACAAACCAGGAGCTTATCACATACTTTTTTGGAATTATCATTTTAACCTTTGACAATTCAATCTCGAGAGCCTCTCTTGAGTAAATTCATTTGTGGTTGAAACTTGCTCAATTTGTTTTGTTTACAAGACGATAAGAAATTAATTTCGGTTTTGTCGTTTTTTTTGTGAAATTTATGTTTCGTAAATAATTTTTATGATGATTAAGAGATCAATCTGGTTGATGACACTTCGAACTAGTAATTCTGTAATTCCCCAATGATAATTTTGCTAGTTACTTCTTAAGAAATTTTATTTACTTACAAAATTAATTTGAAATAAATCAAGTTGAAGTAGTTGACAAATGTTATCATGAACTGGCAAATTCACAAGAATTCTTAAACTTTTAATAATCAAGCTTGCAAAGATTGTTGAACTTATTAATAGCTGGAGGTCAGTTTTGAACGAAAATAAGCTCTCTAAGTTGGCATAATCTATGTTCAAATTGAATTGACTAGAGTCAACCAATCTAGCAAATGATTTTGTCAATTGCTACTTACCTGCAAGCATGATTGCAATCAGTGGCCCAGTGATAAAAATCAAGCTCAAATGAATTAAATCATTCTATAATCCACATTTCCAATAAAAAGAAAGACTTCGTGAAATAACATCGAAAAATTCCCCTCATCATTCAACATCAAATCATTATGGCCATATGTTAACATAAAAAGCCATACAAACAAATTGTTGCAAAAAAAAATTAATTATACCTATTAACACATCATAATATGGTTGATACCAGAGAATATTCTCACATTGTTTGTGGCACACAATTAATCTTAGCAATAAGTAAATATCTTATTTGAAGGCCACACGCGACATGAATAACTTCATCATCATGAAATTATACAGTACATACATCTGATTCGTTTCATCGTAAATGATTTTTGCGGTTGTAAATCAAGAAGAAGTAATAAAAGACGATGTGAGAATGACGAGAAGTAAATAAAAACAAAGTTAAAGCCGGTCATGAGGTGTTTTCGGTCGACAACTCTTGATTACATTAGTCATTGACTATTTATGTGATTTTATTTAATTATCTAGTTCTGCGTCTATTACCTTTTACAAAGTTTCCAATTTATTGCTGAAGAACTGGAATTCCCCGCTACGGAAATAAAGCTATGTGCATTGTTAGACTTGTCTTTCTTATTCTCAACTTCTCAACGTCTGTGAATATGCTAAATGGATTAATCGTGTTTAGAGAGACAAAAAATCTCATCATTTTCTCTTTTGCGTCTTTGTGTCTTGTGAAAATTTCAATGTCAATGACTTAATTTGAGCTGGTTTGAATGTTTTGCGATGTTTTTGTATAATTTTTCAATATTATTTTTTTTAATTTGCAGTGCCAGCAATGCTTTGGCTAATGCTAACAGTTATGGACAATATATGGGACCACAAGGTAAAAATGTCTCTCAAATGTCTTAAATTGATTCGATTATTGATACCAAAATAAGTATTGAAAGGATTATTAACCTGTTGACATTTTTATAGGATTTGGAGCAACATCGGGTATTGCTGGAGCTCAAGCTTTCAAAAATCAAGGACCAATGGGTGGATTCGGTAAGTTTTAAAACTTTCTGCAGTAAATATGCAAATTGCATGTGTAAACATTACTTAAACTTTGATTTTATTAAGCTATTACAATACTTTCCACTTAGATGTCAACCAAACATCTTATTGCTAAACTAAATGTCCATAAATTAAAGCTTTTTACCATTTATGGAGCGATTTCACTGCAAATTTTTCTCAGAAACGTTTTTTAATAATTTTAATTAACATCTCATTTATTTATTTAAAAATAGGAGCTTCCGCTGCAAATACAGGCACACAAGTAAGCTTTATAAGTCAACAAATTATTCAAATTTAATCACGAAATATTTTTATTTGATTAGGGATTCAACTGTGGACCCGGTGGATGTGCAGGATCAGCTGGTATGAGTGGGAGTCAAACTTATGACTTACCAGGTGGAAGACACATTAACTTGGGATATGGTGGTACTTTCTCAAATGCTGGTGGTCAACCTGCTTATGGACAATCTAACTCAATCAATTTCTCATAATTTAAAATCTTGAAATTAATTTTGTTTTTGTTGACTTTTTTTTACAAAGAAAGTGATAATAAATGTGGGCTGAAATTGTGGCTTTTAAACATTATGTAACTTCTTTTTTTTGCGATGCTGACTGAATAAATTATTTAATTTTGATTCATGCTGATTGTGAATAATATTTAAGGATGGGACGATTGGATGCATTTTATTTTGAATTCTATTTAGATTACATTTTTTGAATCTAGATTTAATCAGTCTTTGGTTATATTCAGTTCTACCCCTCCCTTTAGGAGGACCATAGGAGAGTCTTTATGTTATAGAATGAATACAACTTAATAATAAGCACGCCACTGATTCTTTTTCTAGTTGTATAAACTACCTACACTGATAATCATTAAAATTAACAAGTAATTATGTACGTATTGTATTTTTCATACGAATTTCTACAGTGTTGTTGAGATCAATACTTGTATAGCTATCAAAAAAATTCTAGGAACTATCTTGACATGTCTGACTAATTTTCTATATTTACCCATCCTAGCACCTTAAAAAATTGAAAAACCATAAAATTTATTCATGGACCTCTGGGCATAAAACATGATTGAAAACAACATCTTGAGAATATCCAGCCAAGAGAAACAGCACCAAAAAAAGAGATTGTGGTGAATTTTAAGAAAGTTTTTAAAATAAAAAACGAATAAAACAAAAAAAAACTTAATTGAATGTATTTGTGACAGCAAAATCTGGTAAGTCAAGTTGTTGTCACCGGCTATACCAACAGGCTTTAAAAAGAGAACAAAAACTGAAAATTTGAGTCAGTTGGTGTTACTTGGTGCTGTGAATCAGAAGTCGTTCTCTGTATCCTCTACTTAATTAATTTTTTTAAAGATGAAATTCCTTATTGTCACAATTGTTTGCTGTATTGGAGCTGTTGCAGCTAGAAGTATTGGAAATAGGGACAATGACAGTCACTGTAAGTTCAAAAATCTACCAAGAATTTATCTTTTAAGTTCAATGCTCGATGAAGTTCTAATTCAAGTGATTCAGTGACATGATTTATATTTAATTCAATTAATGTTCTAAAATTACGCACAAAGTTTTTTTTATCATTTTTTACTATCAAAAAATTATCACCGACCAAACATCATCGAAAATAACATAAATGCGAATAGTTGAAAAACCAGTTTGAATTTAATATTTTTTTATGCGTCATAGTGTCGCATTATTATTTATTCTTCGGATTTATAAACCAGAAATAAAAGTGAAATGTTTTTTGTATCGTACACAAAACCGGGCTGTTTATAATTTTTTTAATATTATTATTTTTTTCTTGGTACTTGTTTAAAGCTGCGGGATTGCCATACAACGAAGAACTTGTTGTCGCATCCTCAATAAACATCAGACCGAAGGGACGTAACGAAATCATTCGACAAAAGAGGCAGTTTGGTGGATTTGGGTAAGAAAATGTAGCCATGTGTTTAGTTTATTGTTAAAGTGACTCTTTAAATGTTATGGTAATTAATTCGTAAGGGTCAACAGTTGACGCATTAAGACATGACCATGATAATTTATCAAAGTCATTGATTCAACTCTGTAAATTCTTATAATTGATTGACGATCTTTGTAAAGTCAGATCATTTCCTATTTTATTGATACTGCGAATTCTTTCATCAAGTTCAAAATCAATAATAAACACATCTCTATCTTTATTAATATTGAATAACATATATAAAATTTAATCTACAGACAAAGCCAATCAGCAGCAAATGCAAACGCATACAATCAACAATTTGGACCTAATGGATTCGGTGCATCAGCTGCTAATGCCGGAGCTCAAGGTTTCCAGAGTCAAGGGCCTCTAGGTAAGATTTACCATTTCATTAGTGAATATTTAATCTCGAATTTCATCAACGCTTTACGTCACTATCACTCACATCAATTGATACTTCATTCAGTTCAATGCTTGATAGGGGATTTTTTGAATCCCATCAATTAGTTCTCATGAAATCATTTGCATATTTTTGATAATTAATTTAATATTCAACAAGTTCTTTGAAATAAGTTTTGACGAAATCAGTAAAAAATTCAAATGGCAATCTTAATGGACTTTTCTCTCATTCTCCTCTGTTCATTATCAATGCTGCAGAAATTTAATTTTTATCAAGCTTAAACGTTTACACAAGTGAAAAACAGAAATCCAGTTTTATATTTACACACTTGTGTTAAGTCTTATTACCATAAACTGTTTATCACTGATAACTGAATCATCATAATTTATAAATTCAAGTTTAAGACTCAATATGCCTAAAAGGGTTTTCCCCAAAGCTATGAAACAAAATCAATAAATATCAATTTAATACTTTTTTTCGTAGGTGGTTTTGGCGCTAATTCAGCTAACGCTGCGACTCAAGCATTCCAAGCTGGACCAGGTAACATTTTTGGTATTAAAAAATGAATCAAATTTTAATTCATGATTTTAATTTTAGGCGGCTTTGGAGGTAGTGCTGGCTTTTCAGGATCACAAAACTATCAACTTCCTGGCAATCACAATATAGGAATAACATACGGACAAAGTAAGTTATTTGGCACTAAAATAATTCTTTCAAACTTTACTTATTGATATTCTATCGACAGCATACTCCAATGCCAACGGTGTCCCAAGTCAAGCCGGTTCAAATAGCATCAATTACACATAAGAAGCATCATGATAAATTGAGAAATTACATCATTAACTCAAAGTATACAACTGATAGATGTTAAGATTTTAATTTGCATTATTTCAAATAGTTTAAGATGAACAAAAGACAATAAAAATTTTGATAAATAAGACAACTTGTGAAGTTTTTATTCATATTTGCAGATGATATTTGAACATGAAGAAACAATGGATTTTTTTTTACAGATTCTTTCAGTCATTATAGATACAAATAAAGAATTGATTGATGAGCTAAAAGCTCTATATGGTAAGAATCTTGAAGATTAAACTATTCCCACGTAACCATAAGTCGACGAATGGAAGATTTTATGTATTACATCAAAATCTTCCATGTATGTTCCATATGTACATTCCATGTATCGTACATTGGACATTATGCTAATATGAAAAGGGACGATTTTTAGTCGATTTTACGTCGATTTCACGTCGATTATTTTTTTGAACCAAAATCAAATTTTTTTTGACCGTTACAATATAAAAACCGATTAACGGAAAAATTTTGAATTTTTTTACATGAAAATATTTTTTGTTAATTATACTATAATTTGTAGACAAAATCCAAAAAAATTAATTAAGGATTTTGTCTTTGAAAAAAAGAGTCGAAGTCTTCATTTAAATGAATGATTCGCTTGTAATTAATTTAATTAATTAATCACACTTTGTATGAAAATTTGGCTGTGCCTTATATAAGTGATTTCTGATTGCACTTGTGAAGTATATAGCGGCTCAAGAAAAACGAATGTAATGGATGAAAAATCGACGTCTATTGGATCATCCAAAAAATTGTACATTTAAGTCGATTTTTTCATTGACGGCGATTTTGGTTACGTGGGTTATTATCTTCAAATTACGGTTGACAGTGTCAATGTTCTAGAATCACTATTGGTTCAACTTACTAACCCGAACAGAACCCGAGAAAAACAACTTACATTCGATCTACGATTTGCATCATGATTTGGAAGCTAAATTATGATTTTTTTTGTGGGGTCATAATAATCACAAAGCTATTAAAAAACTGTACAGCTCGGGACATTTCGCTTTACAACCTGATTATGATAATGATGATTACCATAATAGTAACGTAAACATTCAGCAAGAAGGAAACAAAACAGTTTTTATGAACCTATTTAAATGAATGAATGATCGTCAAACATTCAACAACAGTCGCGTGTGATTGCTGACGTTAAACGAGAGAGAACTTGAGTTTATTCCAAGTTCACAATTGTATTGGTAAACTGGAAGTAAAATAGTCAAGCAAGAAGAAAAATTAGGCTTAAAAATGCTGAAAGCGTGACAATAAAGCTCAGTTTGCGGTTAAGAATTGATCGAAGAAGAATTCTTGTGTTTTTTTTGCATTTCTATTGAATTTTTTGAGATTATTATTTAATTAAAATTGCAGTTAAGATGAAAAATTTACAATTCGTGATTTTTGTGCTTTTTGCTCTCTGCGGTGGAAGTTTAGCTAGAATTATTGCGGTGCTTAGTAAGTGTCAAATTTGTGAATTGAAAATGTTTGAAAATTATTGACAAGTTGATATTAAATGATTTCAAAAAGAATTAATAGTGAAATTCGAAAATTTCTATAATTTTGTATCAATACTTTATGTAAATTATGATAACTAAGAGTGTTAAGATATTTTTAAGTTCCTTATTCTTAATACTCTAGTTATAATTTAAAATAAATAAATTCAAAAAAAAAGAAAGAAAATCGTTCAAATTTTGATATTTTTTAAGCAATGCCACAAGCACCTCCATTTCTTTCTGAAGATAAAACTAGTGAAAACCATGGATTAGTTCGAGCAAAACGACAATATGGATTTGGGTAAGAAATTATTTTATTTTTCTTGGATTTATTAATTCTTCAAGCTTGTGATAAACTCAATATTGACGTATATCAGTAAAGTATTGGAAAAAAGATCACAACAAGTAATTAAATATTGTAATACAGAATTTCGGGATATTTCACATGTTTTTTTTTTATTTTTTGTTTAAAATTTCTTCCATGATTCATGATTTCAGGAAACGGAATTTCCCATTAGAAATGTTATCATTGCTGCATTCTATTTCAAAATAATTTTTTCAATGCCTATGATTAGAAGATGCGATTACAGAAATATAATTAAAAGGAAGTTCATTTAAAAATAAATAATTTCCTTACATTGCTTGATGATAATTCATTATTGTGAATTATTTGCATTAGGTATTATATTTTAATCGATGCGTTATCAATATTGAGTTCTAAACAGGTGATAATCCTAAAGGTTATCGTAAATGCCTTCTAAATGCACAAATCATCAATAATATAGTAAATTTTTAAAAATTAATTTATAATGACGCTCAACAGCTTCCCATATATATGTCCAGTAAGCCACTATAACTCAAATATTTATTTCCAATCCAAAAAACTCAAAAACGTGTTTAACTGAATAATTTGAATTTTGTTCCCAACCATTCACAAAAAGTAATACTACTTGACTTATGACTTACTTATTAGGATTCAAAAATCATTCGAAAACTTCTTTTAATCTTTTTCATTGGGGAATTCCCAAAATTTGTTGATACACAAGCATGTAAATGTGTCAAACATTAATAATGAACCGGCACGATTGATTTTTAAGTGCAAAATACGCAAGTTTTTTTTCTTCTTTCATTCTTTGTCGATTGAGTCATCAGATTTTTAACCTGAACTCTTCCGTGGCAATTTATTCATATCCATAACATCAAGCGCATAATTAAACTAATGGATGCAGTTTTAATTCTTAATTACATTAAGTAATGCATGCAAGATTAAAAACCCAATTATTTAAAGTCATTTAATTAATTATTTATATTACTTCCTCATATGTACAGGCCATTTGGACAGAGTTCTGCTTTTGCAAATGCGAATGCATTTAATCAACAGTTTGGACCACAAGGTGAGTCTTTCATAGTGGTTGGAAGTTCAAGGAGAATTTTATGATTTATAATTCCATTTTTTTAAAATGAAGGTTTTGGAAGCAGTGCATCTATAGCTGGTGCTCAAAGTTTCAATAATCAAGGTCCATTTGGTGGATTCGGTAGGAAATCTATGCTTGATAAAGATAAATTTTATTCTAATGTAACTGCATTTACAGGTGCATCCGCTGCTAATTCACAGTCTCAAGGATTCAATTGTGGCTATTCTGGATGTTCAGGTTCTCTTGGATTCAGTGGTAGTCAAACATATAACCTTCCCGGTGGAAAGAGTGTTGCATTCTCTCTTGGACGTGGCGTTAGTTTTGCACCTGGACAAGCACCTTCCGTTTCAAACAGCAATAGCTTAACGTATACTCGATAAATTTTGAAAATTGAACTTAGAAAATATTAAATTAATTTATTGTTGTGATTTGAGTATTTGAAAATATACTTTATAGTTTTTGAGACAATTTTTAAAGATTTGGAACTGCTGATCAACTGACTTGTGATCATTTTGATTAGTTTCAACGATTCAATTGAATAGTTTTCAGCTATAAGTTAAATAAAGTGAACTGATTTTTTTAAAAATTTAAATTTATGAATTTCAATTTTCTTAAAAACATTCATTTTGAATTCCTAGACTTTAATTTGCTTATAAATTAAAAAATTCTTAAGAAAATTTCAAAAGTATCAACATAAATCACCTTTTTAAGCCCTACAAATAAAACAAAGTCTTACTAAGTGAAACAAAAAAATACTTTTACATAACCTGAAGTAATCTTTAAACAGAAAAAAATTGTTTAATAACAAAACCCATTAACAGCAGCATATCCCATTGAAAATCATTTAAGTTGAAAAAAATTTCTTCGTTGAGTATAAATATTTACAGTTATTAAAATGCTAAGTGTCATATGCATCATAAATCTGCTTGACTTTTTCTCTCTCTCTCTCTCTCTCTCTATTCTCCTTTTTCACTTCATTTTCATCCTAACAGTAGTCAATATATTATGGAAAGGGCGTTGAGCGACACATTTGTTAATACTGCAATAACTTTTAAGTCTCATATGCTCGCATTCATCAAAGAAGGGTTTTTGAAAGGATTTCAATTTACTTTTTTTACTTCTTTTCGAGAATTCAATCATTCACCTCTTACTTGAAATGAATTAATAAATTGTGAGTTCAATCACGTAAATTGAGGAATGGATGAGAGCTCTTGATAATAATAGAATGAAAAGTCGTTGATGAATTGATATTGAAAACCAAAACAAAAGCAAATGATGGAATTGAAAGTGAAGGATGAATGCGTTCTTTTGTGTAAGTTGTGTTAAATCAAAATTAATTTTTTTTTTGATCTGGAAACCAATTTGTGTGATGATTATGCTCTAAACTGAGATATCAATAATCAACTCAACCTTATTAAACCTCATTGTGTGACATTCACATTATTGAAATTTTTAATCATGCCAAAAATTGAAGAATTTCAACAATTTTATCGAACATAAAATTTTCAATTAAAAACTCAATGACAAAGCATAAAAAAGACTCTTTAAACAAAATAAAAAATTCCAGTTATTGAACATATTTCCACAGCACCATCAAATATAAAAATGAAAAATTAACCCCTCCAGCAAGTTCATAAAAAAACACAAAAAGTGAGAAACATAATCAAAGAGGACTTTAATAACAGCAAACAAAACCAGATTCTTTTCCAACTAACATAGCACAGCAAGCCTTAACGAAAATATTGTCATACTTTTTTTTAACAGCATTTGTTCGCAATATGTGTCCCCGAATAAACTACATGTGGAGGATGAAATGACAAGAAGCAGGCAAGGAAGAAGCAAAAAAAAATTAAATAAAAAAGGGGCGAGATGAAAAATTAGAAAAGAAATGAAAAAAATCTATCCAATTTGATAATAAGGATGTGCACCTTAACAAAAGGATCAACGAGGCGAAAAATTCGATGAAATGTGACGCCATTTACCGCACATATTGTGAGTTCAATTCTCCCTTCTGCACAGCCAACTCCTACTTTGGTATAATGCAACATCATCATCATCATTGAGTTTTTAGTTCATCTAAATTTTCAAGGATATATTCAGCTTATTGGTGATACTATGACAATGATTACGGTGTCGATGCAATCTCACTCCTTTTTTTACGTTTCAATACGCAATCTCATCCTCAAATGAACAACATTTCTTCGGTTTACCGTAAATTCATTCCAATATACATGCACACATGTGAGTGAGACTTGGGAAGAAAAAAATAAGATATGAGGAAGTCTACATGGATCTATAATTGAATATCCAAATAAAAAGGACTTGTTTAAGGAAAAAGGCACAAAATAGAAGAGGAAGAAAAAAGGTTCAAATAGAGGAAGACAACGAAGAAGAAGTGACATGAAAATTTAATTTAAAGGGTGTCGAATGTGACAAGAAAGATTATTAAATAAAAGCAAAGTATCGGGCAGTCAAATCAGTGCAAATTATTTCCCTATTTTTTGCAATACATTGTATAGCATTAAAAAGGTTGAATGAGCATTCACTTTATTGTTGCTTTATCTTTCATATAAATGCGTCTTGTTCAACATTTCTCAATCTTGCAAACTCACTTCCCATCAGCATCCCTCTTTTCCATAAAAAGAGCAAGAAAAGGTAAATAAAGTACGTAACATAACACATGAAAAAGCATTTCGCACCAACTCAAATTCAATTTAAAGTAACAAATTTGACAAATTGTTGTAATGTAACCCTCAAGTAAGGGAATGACAAGGAAAGAAAGTTGAAAAAAAATCAGAGGGACTGAACAAAAAAGTTAATTTTCGCATCTGTGTATCACACATACATCACAATAAATGGCAATGATCATAATTACATTGTTTCTACATGAAGAACTTTTTTTATAAAGTACACAAAAAATATAAAATATCATGCATGAAAGAGAACTTTTTTGCTGTGTTGTTCGTCATTATATAGCACAAATTACTTAATTAGTTTATTGTACTTGTTGACTTTATTAATTATTGTTGTGATGCTTTTATATGCGCGTTCAGATTTTTTTTTGTTTGATGAACAATAATGATGAAGCATCATGTTGATGAGATTGCATATTTATTTGCTATATGTTGATCATAGTGATGATATCGGAATGGAAAGGGGTGAATATCTGTGTAATTTGATGAATCAGTTTGTATAAATTATGTGAGTAAATAGTAATTATGTTAAAATATTGGATTTCAGGTAGTGTAACTTGTAACGGACATTTTTAATTTCAATTCTTGCGTTTTTTTAACCTCAAATAATGCAAGTTATGTTTGAGGTCAAAATTTTAGGTTTCTGACAAATTTTTGATTTAATTTAATTAAAATAGCTCAAAACCAAAGAAATCCTGAACCTAAATTGCATATTCATAGTTATTAAACTCAAAGTTTAGTCATTCAGCTCAGATTCCTTCCAAATATCAACTTAAAGTGCTCATGAAAGCATTCAAAATCCCCAAAGTATAAATCCTCGCACACATGACCCATGCAATTATTCACATCCTCACCAAAAAAACAAAATCCATTCTAATTTCAAAGCATTCAATTATTTTGTGTTTTTTTCTGATTTTCTAGCTTCAATCCTCAAAATTTCTACACCATGCACAATCCATAAAGTCAGCAAAAATTGCACAAGTCAAAAAAATGAGTAAATTTGTTAAACAATCAACTAATGAACTAACGAGATGAACATTTATTCTTTGTGCGCCTCTATGCACATCCACATGAAAAATTTCAAATGCCTCTCTATGCAGAAATACCAGATGATAAAAATATATCTCTCATCTCATACATGTTTGATGTGTGTGCAGTTCCAAATTGCTGATGAAAAGTGCAAACAACACACAATGAAATAATTTTTTTTTTTTGGTTGGGAATAAAAGGAGAGTGGAGTCGAAAAGTCAAAAGCAAGTGAATGGACTGCATTTTAAGCAAGCATTGTGTGTGTTTTAAGGAACAGAGGCAAATGCTGTTGGTATTGTTGGAATCTTTGTCATTTGAATGGTGAGAATTAAACTCAATATTTAACCACGGCCAGGATTCAAGTGCTGTTCAAGATACTTCCTCTAGTCACAGTTAAATCTTAGATGCCAGGTTTCTTATAATGATTCCAAATCCATACTCAATGTAATCCCAGCTTGCATTTCATGATCCTTGATGAGCAACAACTGTAACTATCGCATTCCAACAAATGAAATTAAGTGATTGACTCATTAAGTTAAAACCATGACTGCTCATATTTGTACAAGATATTCAAATGCATTGCGAATAATGAATCAAAGAGACATAAAAAGTAGCCAAAGAGCTAGTGGACATGCAATTGAAATTAATTGTGAAGAGAGAAAGCAATTTTCATTTATCGCTGTTCTTTATGACTTAACACATTTAGCTATTTGGTCGTACAACTAAATTGATCAATAGAATTGACTCAACTGCAATAAAAGTTCAGAATGAGTGAATGTCCATTTATATTATTGTGACATCTAAAAATATAGCTAAAAAAGAATTGATTGCATTTTCCTCAAAAATAGAATCTCTCTCGTTTGGTGAGTTCGTTAAGGATCTGGGGGTTTAAAAGGCAGCCAACAAGAGAAATAATTTCACAGTCTGGCGATTCATTTGGATAATTAAATAGATTACCATGCTTCAAGTATGGAGATGACAATTTAAATGAGATAGATGTATGAAAAAATGATAAGGGTTGTATGTGAAGCTTGTCATGATGATGACTGACATCATAGTTAGTATTTCTATATGATGGTTGAATGTACATCCAGCACATCTACTGTACAATACCTTTTTACCATAGAAACAGTTCTCAATTTTTTCGTGGAAGTCATATAAAACTAAAATATCAGGCAATGCTATTCGGCACAATGTATCTTTGAAGCATACAAGACATGAAAATAAATAAAAAGGGCAAAAAAAATGCGAGAAAATAAAAAGCTTCCGAGTTTGCTACTTCTCACCATTGTCCAACGTACTTCTTCTCCTTATTCTCTATTCAATACACATTATGAGGGCGAAAATTAGTCAGAGATACCGAAAAGAAGACCCGAAGTGAAATTAACACATAAAATTTTATGATTATCACCCAAGAAGAAGCACAAAGTGAAGATGAAAAAACTTTCTTGTACTTCTCTGTGACGAATTACTTTTTTTTTGCAGTTTTTTGAAGAAAAAACTTTAACTGAATTTTAAAATAAATAAACCCAGTGAGAACTGATGATATTTATGTGAAAAATCAGTTTTCAAATAAAAAATTCACAAACTAAAGTTCCAACTATTGACGTAAAGAGCAATCAAAAAATTCCATACATATCACGTGGATTACAACATTTTATAAGGAAAATAGACACAAAAAATCAAGCTTTTGGAAAATCTACTATATTTCTGTAAAACTGTCTTCGTAAATTTCTCACTGGGGCTTTCCCAACAACAAACAAGAAGTTCGTTTCTTTGCTTCATGCACAATATTTTAAAAATTTAAATAGAAGCGTAGATTTCAAGTTATTACTATAGAATGTTAAATGAAGATTTTTTTTAAACTAATGACAATTAATCACATGCTATGACAAGGAATGTGAAGATGGGAGGTTCTAATTATACAAAAATATGTTAACATAGTTCAATTGCTCTGTTGACATTCTCAAATATTATGTTTAAGAAACGATCAGGACACAGATCAAATTCAAAAAGTTATGCTATCCTGTATAAGATTTGTGTTCTGTAAGATGTTCTGCATCTCGAATGATCAGCGCTGCAAATTAGTTATCATATCTCAGGTTCGCCTCTGGTAAGAATATTTAAATGTCAGTGTTAATAAACTTCTAAGTATTACCTGATGACAGTCGAGTCCTAGTTTACTTCATTTTTAACATCTCCTACAAAATTTCTCAACTTTCTGACCTTATCTATTTCAAAACATCAATGTACAGTCAATCTATCCTCAACTCATCAATATGCATCAATAAAAAAAAGAACCAAAAAAAGGAGAAAGAAGAAGTAAAATTTGAAGAAAGTATTATAAAATAATAAAAAATTATGACTCTTTTCCCAAAAATTGTTGGTCCCTCAAGCATTTAACTCAAAAATAAAAATTTCTACGTGTAGTAAAAAAATCCTTTTGTTTCCACAATTTCCATTCCATTCTCCACAAAAATGAGGATGGTTCTTTTGGTTGAAAGTAAAGTAGAAAGGCAGAAGAGAAAAAAAAATATTTTTTTAGCCATTATACACACATTTTGCAAAACCCAGGACATTTTTATGAAAGCGATTCCAGCATTACATGAGAAAAAGAAAGCCGTCGAATGGTGGCAATAAAAAAGGGCACCGAATATGGTAGTTACAGTATGTGGATAGAAAAAAAAATTATTTTGCTGACTCTAGTAAATCCAAGTTGAAGAATGTCAGAGATTTTTTTTTCCATGAACATCGAACAACTCTCGTTATTTTCCTGTCGTGCTATTTTTGCCTTTTTTCCTCCATCCCTTTCCACACATCAAGCTCTATGTATGTCCAACATATTTCTGAACTCTTTTTTATTCATCCACAATTCCGAAGGAGTTTGAGGACATCAGCAGAAAGAGGTGGAAAAAAGGTTTTCATTTTATCTCCACAAAAATTTTCCACACACCAATAAATGGTTGCCATCGGCATCGGTCAAATGAGTAACATTTTTTTTACTTCTGCAATGCCTCTACTTTCATATTCATTTCTCCATCCACATTATGTGCTCACAAAGTGAAATGAAATGAAATCATCATATAATTTTTAATTCCTTTTTTCCATGGAATAAATTTTGATGGCTATGTAAGGCACACATGAAACACATAAAAAGTCGATTCAATTTTTCCTATGATATCACCATATGGATGTATATAGCCATCCGTATATGTCCATTTAATTCCACTTTTTTATGGAAAATCATTATTTGACGGAAGTTAAACTCTCGGTTGATATTATTTTTGCTTCCAACTCTTATGGATGATGTTTAATTTCCCTCTATATATTCATTCGATTAAACATTCGTTTCAGGCCATGTAAATTTCTCTCATTTCATTCTGTATTTCTTCTGTATCTGTATGTGCCTCTTAATGTAGCCTCATGTTTATGGTGACTCTATATGTGTGATTTAGCAGGTTTTTATTATAAATATATTTTTATTTAATGCTTGATTCAAGAGATCTTTTGGCTTAAAAGTAATGATGAGTTTTGAGGACAGAGATTTTTAATGTTGTACATATTATGAAAGATTGTCTGTTTTAAATTGTAAGAAATTTTGTTTATATAAGCAAGACTTAACTGAAAACACTTTATAACTGCGCTGACAACGTCCATAAACCAACTTGTCATTCCAACTTTTGAACATTTCATCTCACATGCCTTACAGAAATTGATAAAAATTTAAACATAAAATATGAAATAAAAATCTCTTTTTTTGTTCCTGTAAAAATCATCAAGCTCAATCATTCACCGGTAATGTGTTTCAATCTACATAAATCCCTCATATTTATCAAAAAGGTTTCTCCATTTTTATGATGATCATTTCCATTTCCAAAAATTGTATCTGTCATAATTTATTTTTAGAAATTCATTTTTCGCTCTTTAAAGTGTCTTAAATGTATCGAGTATGTGGCAATAATTTAAAGTGGATTTCTTTTTTTGTTCTTAACCGATTAAGTGGGAATGTATGCTGATGTTAATGCCACCTCGACGAACGCGTGTTTGCTATAATTAGATGACAACTTAAAGACTCATTTAAAATGACGCTATGCGACTGTAATAAATCTCGCAGTTCAATGGTAATAAGAACTGAGTTGAAAGGAGTAAAGAAAGTTAATTCATTGTCATGAAAATAAATTTTGTTGGGGATTTAAAGTGACTTAGAGTTGAATAGTATTCAGTTTTAAATTTAGAATCAAACTTGTGTCGAAAGAATTAAATTTATAAGAAGATTTGTAAGAAAAAGTAAGCAAAACCAATTTTAGTGCAAACATGAAAGCCGCGGTGACCTGAAGTTAAGGTTTTTAGATGAATTTGTAAATGTTTCGTAGATCGAAGATGCTGATTTGTAGATATCTTGAAATTCATCCAAGTCCATCCAATCATCCATCAAATTCACTTTCATGTTGCAAACCATTCCCAAAAAAGGTCAAGCCAACAAAAAAAAAATTTCACTTCTGAATTGCACGCATGAAAAAGCCATAATTTTGCGGTGTGTAATGTATAAATTGGTCATTGTGGTTGATAATTCGTGAATTAATAATGAGATATTCAAGCTGCGAAAATTGGCACTACGCACCATAATATATGTACAAACATTTATGTATGGTGCATGGAAAATGAGTAGGACGACAACATGATTGTATATGATATGGCTTCTCGGCCTTTACCAAATACTGCAAAATGCAATTTCTGTTTGTGCATGGAAAATTTATGATTATCATTTTCGAAAAAAACTTGTTGCTGATTTTAATGCATGTCTGAAATTGTCTGTTTATTGTCTGTTTTATGCTTCTCGCATAAGTGTTTTGCTACAGTGAATAAATTTTTGGGAGAAAGTTGGAGTCTCAATGTGCATTTTTGATGTGCAAATGTTTGGAGATTTTTGATTTGAGATGTTCAGGTAGTATAGTAGTTTTATATTGATGGGCGGATTACAAGATTGATTTTGTGCTGTCAGCTGATGCAATTTAAAATGCATTTGAAGATCAAACATGAGATTTTGTGTCAATTCTATATCATCGATGACTCAGTAGCTTCAAAAATGCTGCAAAGGTTCAAAATCACATTGAACTCACAAAATCTATTACTTTTCGATTCATTCAGCTTCCAAACACGACCAATAACCCCCATCTGAATCAACAAAAACAATTCATCTACGGGAATTTCCAGAAAGTTTAAATCCCAAACTCAATTTTTTTTGCACATTTGGAATATTCTGATTTTAAAAAATTCCCTCTACATCTGTTTTGGACATAATCAAACATATGTGATGCACACAACTTCCTTATTATTTCATGTTTGGCTCATTTATTTTTAGGTTAATGAGGAAGGATTAAAATTCTCTCAATCTTCCTTAATTCCCACCCAAACATAGCAACAACAACAATTGGATGTGCATGCACAATAACATAGCGACACAGTAAAGACACCAGAGATTTTCTCTAATTTAGGGGATTAACATTAAAACTCTTCGAAAAAATAAAAATTGTTTCCAAAACAAAAATTAATTTTAATAAGATTAACAAAATTTTGTTTTGGAAATACTTTTTCTTCTTGTGACCCACCCATGATACAAAATTAAAATAGAAAGGCTCAGAGGCCGAGATTTTCTTGCACGGTTGGAGATGGTCATTATGGCATCGTACATGCATATACATAAACACATAAAGTTATGGGGTTGGAAAAAAAAGAAAGGCAAATAGCAATTAAAGTGAAATTTTTTTGGTTAATCCTTTTAATTTTTATTGCATACGCCACAGGAGCTATTGCCTATTGCCATATAGAATCACATGAACTGTAAAAAAAAGAGGTAAGAAATAAATTTTTATAGTTTTCTTCATAAAACTTTTGAAAAGAGTTTTATGAGTGAAAGGATTAAGTCGGTTTCCCACTGACTTAATTAGGTTTATAAAAAGTATATTCCCAACATCGACCAGATCTAAATTGACTCGGACATGTCAGGTAATTGTTTTATCTATGAATTATTATAATCCAATAAAATATTTTTATTTTCGGACATGAGGTGCTCCTTTTTTTGGGATACAATAAAGTAAGAAGAAAAAAAAGGGTTTGGACTTGTTTATTGCTCTTAATCCTTTAATCCTTTCTCTTCTTTTATTTTCACACTTGATCACTCCATCCTTTTACTGTGTTTGTTTCCAAAACTTTTCTTTCTTTTAAATCTATTGTAAAACAATTGTCATGGCATGAAGACGAAAAAGGGGTTTTATGATGGAAAAAAGATATCCATTAAGGAAATCTGATGCACTTTCATCATTCAGTAGACTTCAGGAATCAGCGGGGGTTTAATTTCTCTCATTTTTACTTGACCTTGATGATTCTCTATGCTATTGTTTCATTTAATACTTTTTTGCATTTGATTTGCACATTTTATTTTATGAGTTTTTTGTTCTATTTGGGACTGCAAAGTGAGAAGATTTTGAAATTGAAGTTAAAGAGTTAAAGAAGTGAGAATGTTAATGGATTTTTTATGGAAATTTTTGTAGATTCTTATGAAAATTTAGTATTTAATTTTAACAGATTATATTTCAACTTATTATGGACAAGGTGTTTCAGAGCCTTTTTCTTTGGTAAGGCTAGCCTTGCAAAGACATTTAAAATACTTCAAAAATCTATTTTTATTTCACTTCAGATTACATTTTTCAACAAAATTCTTTTTAATTTGTCCGATTGCACTCGTATCATTAATTGCAATTCTATCGATACATTTGTTTTTAATAAATGAAGCTATTTGAAGATAATTCAATTTATCTAACAAGAAATTTCCTATTTCACCAATCTTATTGTATCCAAAGCTTACAAATTGTAATTTTGGACTAAACTGGAATAAGTTTCCTTCAATTCTTGTAAATAAATTGTTTCTCACACTAAAGTATTTCAGCTTTTTATAAGGCTGTAGATCTTCTTTGTTAATCGACGACAAATTGCAGAAATTTATGAAAAATCCTTCAATATTTGGAAAAAAGAGTTCCAATTCTCTCGGCATTTTAAGAAGATTTTGATTCGAAATTTGGACAATTTTAACATCCTTGTTCTCCTTCTCAAAAGCATGAACTCCATAAAGCTCAGTAACCACTTTATAGACTATGATTCCTTTAACATCAGCTATGCATGAATAATCTGTCACAATTGGGGTTAATATTTCGCTTGCTTCCGTTCGCCAGTCATAGTAATCATAAGTGCAGTCGATTACAATTGATAAGGATGGTGATAATGTGAGAAGTAGGAAAATAAGATGAATATGAAGCATTTTGTGCCTACAAATTGGAGTAATTTATTAAGTTTTTGAGAATTTTAAATTTTAGAAATATTAATTTTGAACTTTTTAAAGTTCTTAGAATTTACAGACATTTTAAACTTCTTTAGTCGATACTTAACAAATGTCGAGAAACAAACTAAACTACAATGGACTGTGTAATAATATTTGCAGTTATTTTAAAAGATTAGCTTTAATTCATGGTGCATTCGAGCGTTCAAATTTGATTGAATTGCTTCTTAAACTTAGTCACAGAAACTTAGAGTCACATTATTTCTACAAAAAGTAACAAAAATCTTTATACCTAGCAGGTCAGACTTTACTTTGCTTTAAAAAAATTGTCACCTCCTCCATGACCATCAGTTTTAGTCCATCTTGCATAAAACTACATAATGTTACATAAACAGAATAATTAGTCTGAAAATTTCCATGAAGGTTAAAAGCATGCAATAAACACAAATGCCACAAGGTGAACTAGAGGAGGCATAAAAAAATGTTCTTATGTAATAAAAAAATTGTCTCATAGCTTAAAGATGACATAATTTTTTTTTGCACAGCCATAAACCTGCAAATATTTTTGGCCATAATTTATAGCACGCAATTTAAACAAAACTAAGTCAAAGCAAAAAGAAAAATTTTCTCGGAACAAAATGCAATTTTTTATGGAACTGCTCTAGTTGGGTCACAAAATATGGAGCAATATTATGCAAAAGTCATAAAAAATGTTGTGTAAAAAAATTTCTTGGAGTTCTAGTTAGATAATATTATAGAGCAATGTCATGCAACTTTCTGATCCTCCCACAAATATTTTTTAGTGTGACCTAAAAATCAACTTTAAGATTAGGACTAAGGTGATAAAGTTTTGTCAGACTGAGATAGTTTTGACGGTAATTGAAGTTTTTTAGGAATAATGGCTGTACATTTAAGACATGAAACTCAAATAAGACCATTTTTTATGTCAATTTAAATGATAATTCATGAACAGCCTAGTTTCTTAGTGCTGCTTTCATAATACCAAAGTTGAGAATCAAATCTCATTAATAGTTTAAGTTGGCACTCTCAATCCCCGACAGCTAGAAAGAATGAGCATACAACTTAAAGTCGTAAGAGTTTTAGCTTTGATTCCCGAAAATCTGAAAATTATGTTCATAAACTCTAAAACGGAAGAATTCATACTAATAACGTCCCAACTTAAATCACTGATCTATAAATCTAGATGATTTTTGTGACGCAATAAAACTCGGTACTTTGAATCGTCCGAGTGCAAAAGAAGACAAATATGTTGATTGATTTCATGAAAATTTATGTGATAGACATAAAAAAGATTTCTTATGCTGTCAATAATCATCATAAATATTAATAGTCCTTCCTCACTCTCCCATCTCATTTGCCTGACATTTCAGGCCAGCATTGAAACAAAATCAAATTTTTATAGCCATAACGAAGGAGAAGTAAAAATTGAAAGAAATTTTGCATGTTTTATGCTTTTCTTCTATGCTGATTTTTTACAATCACTGCCTGTCATAAAAATTTGTTTATTTTCTTTCTTCTCATTCCATTTCTCTTCACTCTCAGCACTGTCGACATAAAGTCAATTTCTGGACAAATTTTATGCATTTTTATGCTTCTTTTTTTGATAATAGAAAAAAAAACTTTTTTATGCTCTTTTTGTATAAAACACAAAAAATTCTGTTTTGCTTCTGGTTCTAGAAAAAAAATATTGTTCCTTGTGCAGCTTTCTGGTGAACACATTTTTACTACACGCGACCATTTTTCTGTGTAAAGAAAGTCACCCTCAAGTAAATTCTTACAGTAAGCAAGAAAGATCATAAAAAAGTCAACAGCATAAAAGAGAAAGAAAGGAAAATTTCATGGAAAAGTTAATAAAGTAATCGAAGCAGAACTGAACATTCATCGTGACTGATTTCCTTCGAGGAATCCAACTGTTATGGACATCAAGTCACTTTGACTACTTACTTGCTTACTTACTTAAAAGAAGAAGAAGAAAGGAATGAAAAATGAACAGCACGAAAGTAAGAAAATTTATGGATGTCGTGAGGCATAACACGGTAGGAGAGATATGACACTAGGAACTTTGTCAGTACTCAACAATCATAAACATATTTAGTTGGAACGTCACGAGTTGATGCATAGACAATGGATGTAAGTAAATGGAAATTGACAACAGAAATTATCACGAAATGTTAAACAAACACAAGATTTAGGTACGAGAAATATTCTGTCTTGTGTGTGAGGAACTGAGTGTGACAAATGAACTGTAATTCAACAGTAAATGATGATTCTTGATCTTATTTTAAGCTTGTTGAAGAGTTTTTGCTTCAACACTTGAATTTGTGTTTCTTGGAGTCGAAAATGTCGTGTGGAATGGAATTGACTAAGAAACAGCTCCTCTTGGATCTAAAGCTTTACAAATTTTCTGAAATTCTCATTCCAATCCATCTTCTCATCATCTAAATTCCATCCATTCTGCATCACAAATGGCATAAAATAAATCGACACAAAAAATGCAATTTGTCACTTAGTGCTACCAAATTTGCTTGTTGTGAATATTTTTTTTATATATGGTGCATGCATAATAAAAAGTTTTTGTGTGTGCAACTCGACAACTGTTTTTGTTTATCATCAACATTCACTTCTATTTATTGTTTTGTGAATAATGTCTAGGTCATCGCCGGATGTGTGCAGAATTTTAGTTTTATCTACGTGCCAAATATTTTTTTTTATTCAAAGTTCCATTTTTTTGAAATATTGTGCAGTAGTTTGATCTAAAAATCAAATGTTAGGCGATTTGCAATGCAGTTTCATTCATCATAAAAACTTTTTTGTTGCTTCCTGCTCGTTTGGAATTGCGTTGAATTCTTTGGAATATTCAGAATATATTTCATGCAGGGATGGATAATGTTGGTTTGTAGGACTCGTTTTTGAATTGCTGCAATTGATTTTCGGGTAATATATGAAAAATTTGATGACATTAAGTCACCAATAGAATTTTTTAGGGATGTAATGAGGTCTAACAGATGGAAACATGTTTCAAAATGCAGTTATTAAATCTATGAATATCCAAGATCAATTAAAGGTTATTAAGTAGAAGCTAAACCTCAAAATCAGTCAGTTCTTAATCCTCGAGACCCATCACCAACCCTGCACCTTCCATTCCACCATCGAACACAGAATATAAACTATCCATCCAACCATATTTACAACTATGATCCGTTTTGATTATCATCAGTACTTGCTGACATGCACAAACATCATCATTCGATAAACATACCAGAAGCTCTTTGACTGCATTAAGAACTTTTCTATGCGCATAAACATGGAATGGCAGCAAAGATGTTTAAAAATATTCTGTGGATGAATGAAATTAAATGAATGCAAAAAAAAAACTCAATGCACTTTGATGGTGGCTGTATAGTTTTTATTTCTACATGGTCAGCTAAATAATAAAAAATTGCACAAGAAAAAAAAAGAAACACAGGCAAGGCAGATGAGTGAAGGGAAAAATTTCCATATCAGAGGGCTTGAAGAATTTAATTAAAAACTCGTTTTCCGCTTTTGCATTTTACTGGACGTTGGGTGTAGTGGTAAATGTGAATAACAAAAAAAAAATCGAAAATCCCTCAACATTGCTTCGGTTCACCCTCGACGTGAATGAGAAAATAAGGTTTTTTATATAAATCGATTGAAAGGAATTTGCAGTGCAATTGTTTGCTGCTGCTTGCTAGTTTGTAATGAATTTTAATTTAAGCGAAATGAATTTCCATTTCTTTCCCCGACTAAATGCTGGGAATTAAATGTCGAGTTTTCAATTAATTATCAAGATAAAAATCTCGATTTGAATCTTTCAATTTTATAAAGGTTTGAATAAATGGAAGGGGATGCATTAACAAGCTAATTAAGATGTAAAATATATGATGGTATGGATGTTTATATTTCATCCTGGATTAATTTTATATGTCATCGATGCGATCTGATGCTTTACTTTATTTCATGTCTTAAAAGCCGTATCAGACCATTGAATTGATTATAGACATCTTTCATACTTTCGAAAACCAATAGACGAAGAATCCCAATCAGCCAAACATGTTTCTCATAAGAAAAATCAAATTGAATTTTCATGTCCTCATTTTCCTTCAATTTCAAAAAATTTACAACATTTCCATGAAACTGTACTTATATCCAATACACCACATAAAAATAGAATCCCATCTCAAACAAAGCATCAGCAGCGACAACAACAACTACAACATTTTTTAATTCTCAACTGTGTGATTATTTATTGAGGGTCGCCAATATTATTCTGGTTGACAAATCGGTTCAGCATTAAGGACGGCAATGGGTTGAGATGGATATAATGTTAAAATGCATGTCTAATTTTGAAAGGGAAAAAAATTCAACTCTGTATATCACTGCCTGCACTTACATACATTGATGTGGGATTATTCTGATTTTTTTGTTCTTCTCTCTTTCTCTCTGACAGTGCGTGATGTAAATTGTTAGTTGATGTCGTTTGATGGAAACTTTTTTTCCCTCCTCATGGATTGTTTGGTTGCGTAGAATTTTGAGGAAGAGGATTTTATGATGCTGCTAGGATTTTCTGTGATTTGACTGACTGGCTGACAGTTAACTGCAAGTATAATATTCAGCGTTTTTTGCAAGAATACTTCAATTAGACTTAGGGATCAAAACCGGGCAGACGCTCTGAAATAGCTACCAAATCAACTATCCCTGCTAATTCAGAAGCAAGCCATAATTTCTAATAAAGCCCAAATAATGCGCCTCGATCAACTGCAATTTTAAAACATACTTTTCCAATTTTTCAAAAAAACTTCATTCCTTCTTCTTCATCGCACTCCTCATCCACTCGTTTTTCATACACAAAACAGAAAAAAAATTATTCATGAAGGGTAAAAAACTGTGGCCAAAAAGAAAAGCCGCTAGCTCTCCCGCATTTTTGTGCGAATGGTACAAGCCAATATGTAATTTAGAAATGTTTGCTGCTGCTGATGCCGTACGTGTGTATGGGTTGAGCCCTTCTATTCTACTTCTTTTTTCATCCTCCCATCAAATGTTGATCATTATTCATTGTTCCATGTATGCATTTGTATTTATATTTTTTTCCTTTATTTCTTCTTATTATAACCATTACAGTTGGGCATTGACGCTTGTTGCAAATGGATTAAGGATGAAAAATTCATATTATTTCTAAGGGTTACGAATTTTATTCTGAAAGATTGAAAGTAAGGGAAAATTTGGATGAAATAACAATAAACAAATGTTACATGATGCAAACTTCAGTAAATCTTAGACAACTGGCACTGCGAGGTGATTTAAACTTATATTTGATTAGCCATGAGGATTAGCTAGAAGTATTTTGATTGAGGAGTGTGAATTTATTGATGGATTAAGAATTTCATTTGGATAAAGTTTGGAATTTGAAGGGGGAAAGGAGATGAGAACGAAATTATTAAGGTTGGTTAGGGTTTGTTTATGTTGCAGCATCTACGAGTGAGGAGACTTCTTAATGACAAGCTAACAAAATAAATGAATAACTCTGAATAATGAATTCCAGGTGGAACTAGAGCTACTTGACTATATTGCCTTCCGAGCACGTTATGTTTCAATCCTAGTTCAGAAAAATCTATCAAATTTTAATTCCTTTCCATTGCTAACAGGATTACAACATTCAACAAAATAAACCTTCTCATTCCGTTTCCAAAGCAACAATCAACTTATTGGCAAATTATTCAAGGTGATGCAATTATTTTTGGCTTAACCAATGCCATAACTAAATTTAAATCTCTTCAAAAACCCGAAAATAAAAACCCTCAAAAATCTAAAACATTCACAAACCAAAAAAAAAAATATTAAAACTAAATCAGTTCAATTTATGCATGGAAACAGTAGCATGTAATAAAAATAAAAATTTATTAAAATGTTTTATAAAAACTACATCTGAGTGTCGACAATCTATACAATAAATAATAAAAGGAGCATTAATAATGAGATGAATATAATGAGAGTACAATGTTTTAGTCTCTGAGGGTTACGCACTCTTCCTGCTTTTTCGTTATTGAGATTTGTTTGTGAATTAAATAATAAAAAGATATAAAAATTTTATGTGTATCATTTTGAAACATATTTAATGTGCACACTATAGAAAAAGATGGAAATAGAGAGCGTTATAACTTTAGAGAGTAGAGAATTTGAAAATTTATGAAAAATTAATATTTTCTTAAAAATGTACCGGCTTTTTAAAATTTGATTCCTTTAAAAAAGACTCAGCAGTTTTTTTTGAATAATTTTAAACATCAAATTTAAATCCAGTCCGTCAAAATTACTCGACACATTTTCCAAATAAAAGGCTTCATTCATAAAATCTAAAATATTTTTATGTAACCGAAAGGGGAAACAAAACTCTTTCAGCAATATCAGTTATTGCCTCTATATGTAATAGTTTTATGTGTTGTGTACGATATTTAGGGATTGACAATGAGAAACAATAAAAAAAAATCATCTCTTGTTTCACGACTTTGTTGATGTGTTTAAGCCTCTTTATCAGTGATGAATTTCAGTTGATGATGCCATTATATTGTAATCTCATATTTCGCCCTCTACAACCATTTGTACACCCTGCTTCTTTTGGGTTATGCAATAATATCAACCCTTAACAACAGTACTAGTTTGTACTATTTTACATATACACACACATTATTCGCTATGGTTCAAATTATTTTTGTACTTTAGTGTTTAAAAAATCACTTTTTGTAAGCTGCTTTAGAATGTGCAGGGAGGTAGATTTACCAGTTTGTCTGTAAGCTTCTCACCTGACGATCTTTAAAAACATTTAAATTATAGCTTAAACAAAACACAGTTCTGGAAAAGACACTTCCCAAAAAGGATATCCAAAAAATGTGTAAGCCGCCAGACATATTAAATTTGCCGTGCTGATAGCGGTAAAGACCTTTCCTCCTACATTAAAAAATTTTCACAGCTTCCCGACTTCTTAGAAGGAAGCTTGAGGGATTTAAATGCTAGATGACGAAGGTCGATGATTTTCTTCGAGAATAAGAAAATTAGATTGGAAAGATGATTTTCCTGCCATGAACGTAGCTAAGAAAGATAGATCATGGGGTATTTACACTCCTTTAAATGCTTTCCACAGAAAACATCAAGACCCTGTGCCTGTTTCGTTTTGATCATCATTTTAAAAATTGTCTTGCTACTACCCTGTACCTTACTGACTTAGTTCATATCATTACAAAACAATCAAAAAATGCGCTTTATCCCATCCTCAAACCCATCAAACTTCCCAAAATATTTCCATTTATGCTTACGTAACAAAGAGAAATTGGAAAATAAAGGTTCATGGCACATTTTAATTAGTTTCGGAATGGAATTCTTTTTTTGCAATCGAAATATTTTCTTGTTAAGCAATAACAACAGTGGCGATGTTGAATAAAAAAAAATTTCATTCATTGAATGTTTTTATTTCTCATATCCTAGTGAGTAAATGGATATGGTGTAAATTTACCCCTAAAGCCATGAAAAATTTCACATTTGTATGGCATTAATTCTATCTTTTTATACTCTTTTTTTTATTATTTATTTTGAGGAATGACAATCAATAATAATAAAAAATAAGGAAAGAAAATTGAAAATAAAAATGTACCGTACCCGACAGAAACACAACGAGTACACGAGTTAATAAATTTAAATCCACAAATGTTGCTAATTATCACCCATAATAGTTTTCCTCGTTGTAATATAAATTTACAATCATCGCGGTTCCATAAATGGTTATAGTGTCTCGCATGCCTGCATACTGGAGAATTAAAAAAAAATCTGAGTTTTATTTTTTTGTCATGGTTAAAAAAGTTTTTACTTGGAGCTGCTTTTTGAGTAAAAGTGGGAAATTTTTGAAGCACTTTGTGGATTATAAATATCAGCTCGTGGATGTTCATGGTCGAAGTTTGACCCTCTTAATAGTGAACACTGGGGTATGACATTATGAACATGCACTACTCAAGGGTATACATTAACGGAAATACTCTATAATTGTTCCACTTTCATATCCTCAATACTTTCCATCAAAAATGCGCTCAACTTAACTTACCCGAAAAAAAAATTTTTGACACGAAATTTTAACTGCATTTTTTTTATTTTTTTATTTTAGAGAGATAACGCGGTGAAGCGATAAACGAGCCATGTCTGTGTGTCATATTGTGAAACCAGCATCATAAATGTTCCACACCAAAAATAGCCGCGGCATAGTTGAGAAATATAAAAAAAAATCGAATAAAATAAAAAAGAATTTTCACGAATGGTGGTGGACAAAATGAATATAAATATTGCATGAAGTAGTTCGAGTCTCATTTCTCACTCTTTTTTAAGCAAGCACACTATCAAGGTTCCACAAGAGAATGAGGAGCAACAAAAAAAAATCTCCACATAAACAACGTGAATGCATAAAAAGTGGATTTTTGCATATTCAAAATCATCCTCGATTTTTTTTTTCATCCACCGATACCACCCTCAAAATATCATACACATAAAAATTTGTGACTGTTGAGGAAGGTTTTGATGCATTGCAAAACATAAAAAATTAAAATAACACACAACTTGCACACAACCCGACCAAACCAAAAAAACCATATAACCATTCACCATCAGCGAAATCGTCTCATATACTCTAGGCCAAATGCTTCTATAGTGATATATACACACAATATGTATCAATAGAGATGGAGAAAGGAGCATGAGGCTGGTCAAGCACAGAATGGTGCTGGTTGGAGAGATGATAGTGGTGTCTAGTGATTATTAAGCCTTTTAAGTTGGATGTTGAGAACTGAGTCTACAATTAACTGCAACATTTCTTTATGTCTAAGCTTCACAAAAACGAATCAAAGAATAGCTTTTCAAGATAAAATTCAAGTTAAACTCTAGACAATCTGACAAAATCACAACAAATGCCCACTTCACTTCCTGATTCGGTCACAAAAAAAAGTTCAATACACATACGAGAATAAAAACGGCAATGAAAGTATCTACAGCATTTGCAACGACGATGATGAAAAAAATGCAAATTTTTTATCCAGGATGCAGCAAAAAAATGCATGCGGTATATATACACTGAGCTAAGAACGACGTGGTGTGAGGAGAATGAATGGTCAAACACTAGCAATATTGATGCATATGAAAAAATATACATACATGTTTGTTAAGTTTAAAAAAAACTGCAGTTTGGTGAAACAAACTTTTATATGCATTCGATATTTTTTTTTGTGTACTTCTGTCCGTTCCGGAAATAGATGAATAGTTCAACATAGCGTTAAAAAATGTTGCAATCGCATAAATTTGCAATAGAAAAAATGAGCGAGTGAATTGCACAATCGAAAAAATGACACCGCGACCTGGTGATCAACACACCAACAAAGATGATGATGACTGTGAAATGCAATTTATCATCGTGTTATTTTTGAGTGGGTTATATAAGTGGGGAGTATTGTTTGTTGTCCACAGATGCTGATTTTTGAGAATATTTTTACAATTCATTTAAAATGTAATTTTGAAACTCAAAACAGTAAAATCATGAATTACTAGTCAACTTTATAAATTACAATTCATTTCAATACATTACTAGAAATCAACATCCATAACTGAGATCAATTAAGGTTTTAAACTTCTAGAGCAACTCATTCTAGTATTGCAAAAAGCCATAACCGATTTTCTGACTGACCAAAAAAATGCTTTTATTTATAAACATTCGCATATACAATTGACAAAATGCATAGGTTGGAACAATAGATGGATAAAATCAAATGCATTTTGCATGTCATGCTGTTATAAATTAAATTGTGAGGAGATAAAAAAAAATCTTTTATTGCACAACACCGTTTTGTAAAGGCTGGACACAAAGAGAGCTCTTTCGTAGGCGACATAAACACACATCAAAGGAATTGCAAAACTATAACATCCATCAATTAATTCGAGTTGGATGCATGGATGCCACAAAAAAGAAGTCCAACCAAAGCTGATATTTGCTTGATTGACAAAAAGTGTCATGCAATCACGACAAATTGATCCGTTTCTACTTTTATGAGGCATTCAATGGTCTCGCAAAAATAAATTAACTCAATTTTGTGCTGACTGTGTGTGCGGGTTTTGAAAATGCTGTTAATGGAGTGCAATAGAATAAAGTCATTCAATTAATGAAGGAATCTCACTCTTCATTATTGAGCATCATCGACATTTTCATAATGAAAATCAACTTCAAAAGTGGCTGTTCTGGCTTTATGTGCGTATTGAGATATGAAAAAATTTTCTCTGAATATTTCATAAATAGAGATTTTTTTTTAAAAAAAAATGCACATTTTTATGGAGCAAATACATATTTGAAGTACACACACATCCGGAGCCAGTATTTGCATAAAACATTTTCACATTCTGCAACTTTGTTATATTTTTATATAAAAAAAAATTGTCGCCGTGCATCAAAAATTTTTCATTATTAACCATCTGTGACAAAATGATGGATTTTAGTGGAACTAAAATAAAAATGCATTCGTCAATAGCTTCATATGGGGAATGAGCTCACAATAAATTGATCAAAATTTTAAAAAATAAATATGAAAATTGGTCAAACACAAAGAACTCAAAAGCATGCAATATTGTAAAAAGTAAATTTATAGATTGAATATTAATAGCGAATTTCATAAAATTCAAAGGATTCAATATTGAAATTAAAAATTTATTGGAATTGTAATGCAGTCCTGATTTTTGAGAATTGAATCAAAAGGATTTCTGAATTATAAATGTCATTTAAATTTTAAAAAATAGACAAAACTCATCCCGAATATTCTTTAAAGTCGTCAATTGACTCACAAAGAATGTGATGCAACAAAATCACTTCAATTTCAATATTTCAATGGAGTTAAAAAAAACTCAAAGGCAAAAATTCATCAATTATTCAGCACAAAAAAATATTTCATTCACATAAAAATTGCATATTGAATCAAAATATAAAAAAAAAGGCACAAAAAATCCACAAAGAGTCCTTCAAATATCACAAAAAATTGATTTTTAAAAAGCAAAGTCATAAAAATATTTTTTTAACTGCATAATTTATGAAATCTCTTCATCATCAAAAAGTAAATACAAGAAGCCAATTTGACTGGATAAAAAAAGCAATAGAGGCGGTGGAGAAAAAATTGATGGGATCATAAAATCATTTTTTGATGTCTTCATTCCAAACACTTTAAAATGTATATAAAAAAAAATATTCAATTTAGCTCATACTGGAGTGAGAGAATGAGGCATTGAAATCACATGAGAGATGTATCAAAACATAAAGAAGTCACTTATTCACTTAAATACATTCAATGAGGATGAAGAACAAGAAGATATGCCATTTCAGAAGTTTCTTATGTGTGCATATTCACATCGAGTATCGTAAAGAGAATGAAGAGAAACGTTTGTGCTAAAAATCCTTGTTGGTGAACCAAAAAAGAGGGTAGTTTTATGATTGTATCGATGCCATAAAAAAGCATGAAACGTTTGATTCTTTTTGCTTATTTAAATCCTCACCGGAATTGATTTTTCAATCTTGATGAGCGCGGTTTTACGGGATATTAAATCCTGTTTTTGATTTCCATAACCAAGAACCACGATTCCAAAACTTATTGGATATAAAAAGGTTCTGAAAGTTTCAATATACACAACACATTTGAACTATTTCAAAATTACCAACAATACTTTCTCAACACCATCAAAACACGCTAAATGACATGATTGCGAATTCTTCACTTCAATTCACATCATCTGCGAAACAAAGCCAATGTTTTGGGATTTTCCTCTTACCCATAACGAGGGTGATTCTCTCTCTCATTTAAAAGAACTTTTTTTGCAATACACAACAGCCATCAACCTTCATTCATCCTCATTCATTCAATCAAACATAAAAATAAATAAAAAAGGGGCTGTAGTTGAAGACTTTTAAGTAATTGATAGATATTTTCGCACAGAACAGAAATGAGATGAAATTTTTAATTTTACATTAAATTTGGCATGTCGATATTTTGAAGAAGCGAGGAGAGATTTAACATAGTGTGAGGTTGACGCTATGGGAATTCAATTTAAAAATTTTACACTGCATTAACGACTGAAATGATGGGTATCAATTGTATCATTCCTCACGCTTCTCTCCTTTCTTCTACATCTTCTATTCTCATTCAGATCACACAAGGGAATTTGAGATTTTTTTCCTTACGACAAAGGAGGATGACGATGAAGAAGATATTGCATATTGGCACCACCGGATATATGCTTGTCCTCAAAAACCATAAAATATGTCTTAATCGTCATGAGAGGATTTTCTATTCTTTCTTTTGCTTTCCTACTTCTTACGAATTTGCATAAAGAATTCCGCTTCAGATGAAAGAGAAACTTTATGCTTCTTATTTATTTTTTTCTCGCAAAAAAAATGTGCACACAAAAAAGAATGAACGAATCCAATTACAATATTTTTCCTACTTATTCTTCTCTTTTCTATTCTATTCTATTCATGTGACTTTCATCCTTTGAGATTCAAGAAATTGAAATTTTTTGTTTAACGAATAAAGAAAATGGAATTCGATTGATGTAAAATTAAAATCTTGGAAATAAGAAATTGAAACAATTAGATTTGAAGATAGAATTGATGAAATGTCGGTTCCGCATGTGTGGAGGGTATAAATCAATTATTTAACATGCTTCAGTAATGGATGATCAACAAGTCATAGTATTTTTGAGTTCATGTGTCTTCGTCATATAAAATCGAGCTCTTAAAAGGACAGAATTAATAGGCAAAAACTAATTTTCAAACAAAAGTCAACACAAATGATAAAGAGTTCAATCGAATCAAATCAAATATCGATTTTACAGTTCGAATAACGCTTTAAGGATTAGTGGCAATCGTATTACACGGATAATATCCAGACAGTCGTTTTTACATAACTTACTAATGGTATGCTGAATTTCAATAACCAATAGTCTCAATGTATGTTATACAGTTCAGTTGCATTTAACCAACTTATCCAACGCTATTCATACCTCAAAAATTAAATATGTCCATTTATGTGAATAATAAGTTCCAAAAAATCCATTGAAAGAAACTT